AATCCTGACTTCGTGGCGGCATAAATGTTCCGGCGGTAACTACTTCAATGAAACGTATGATCTCATTAAACAACTAGTGTATTTTGACGTTCTAGATGTCGTGCGCATTTAGACAAATAGATACTGTGAGCTCGTAGCCAGGAACAACTCGCTACTTATACACTTCCTGCTTTATTTTAATTATGAATAAAGGCCGACATAGCTCAATTAAAAAAAAAATGTCTAATTTTCACCATCTGTTGACTCTAGTCAATAGAAAACCAGGATCACACCAGGTTTGTCATTGTGTGTTTATTGAATAAATTGGACTGTCATTTATTTTGACGTGTTAGATACAGAAGTAGCATTCTGTAACACACTGTGTGACATTTCCATTGATTGGGACATACAATATCACTCACTGTACATACGTATTTAGTGCCTTTTTCATTTTCAGATGAATATTATATCGTGTATTGCCAAAACATTTGCAGTTGTTTGTACGTTCAGTGTCACGTGGTATTTCTGCCAGTACGTCATAGATCCGCCATTCTGTTGAAAACAACAACGATACAAATCGCATATTTGCAACAAGTTTGTATGTACAGACTTAACACTTTAATTCTGTGTATCAATGACATAGTACAATATATTCAGAGTAGGACAGTTTTCATATGGCGGACTAACACATTGACATGTAAACATTTAATGCTATCTTACTGTTTGTCATTTGGAATCTATGTTTAAATAGCGCCTTTTTTCTATAGGGCGAGAATACCGCCAAAATTACCTCAACCTTTTTATTACATTATTTCGTACTTATTCATGTATGTCAATACTAGGTCTTTGTTCAGACATTATTATCACATTGTTTTATTACTAATTATTTATTTCGTTATTTACTTATTTTGACATTATTTGACAATTAGTTGCTTATTTCAATATTATTTGGTGATATGGTACGCGTGACATTCGCGTTTCCAAATATGGTAGGATGAAAATACCCCGTAAAATACCGCAAGATTACGGCACGCTGTAACTTATGGCGTTACGGTGACAGATGTATAATAATATTATGTAGTGCGCATGACATTCGCTGCAGTGATACTATGTGGTACGCGTGGCATTATTATCTTCGTTCTAATGTCGCCCAGGTACAGACTCTCGGCATATGTACGGCATATATCTATCTACTAGCTTCTGATAATTGTTGGGAATTTATCGAGGAGGATCTTGAACATCTACCGACAAGAATCATTGTATTTTTTTTCTCCGAGGTCTGCTTTTGTCAAGCCTACTCGTTGTCGTCTACAAGGCACATTTATACATGGTCCCATGTCGGGCGCTGGTACAGCAGGCATCGATCGGGTTCGACTTCGTGAACGGCTAGACACAGTGTTTCACATTTCCCGATTCCTCACGATTTTGATTCCAATGACACAATACAATTTTTTTATTTAATAGATCGCTTATTGCTATACAAGGTTATATGGGGAAAACAAATGGGGGTACGAACCTCTACGTGATATTACTGTAAAGTGGATTTCGAAGTTAATACACGTGTATCCATGAAAAAAAGTAAAACGCATTCAATTACAATTTTTTTTAAAACTCGAGGTAATGGAACAGCATTTTGAAAAGAACAATGGGGCTAAGGACCAATTTTAAAGCTACGACACATGAGATGTCACGAGACAACGGACCGACTTCGAGCCAACCACTTCCAGAAAACTGTATTGAGCAACCCGGGATGAGTTGCATGATATGATTGGCTGAAAAGTCAAAGTCCAGCAAACTTTTGAAAGTAGCAAGTTACATGTGGAATACAGTGGTACGTTAATATCACACTCCGGTACTATTGCTCAAAATTGCGCATACATTTTTCAATAATTTTTTTTCAGTGGCAAGTTACATAGTTGCATTTCGAGAAATCACTCTGTGATTACATGCGCAGTCTCCGATAAACACAATTTTAGGTGCTGTATATCTCTATATAAAGTTTGTAAGTTTCGTTGAGGATTATCTGTAAAAAAAAGTCGTTGAAAATATTTCATATATTTGTAAAATATAGCCTGTGGGACGGCTGATGCATTTACTTCAGATTGAATAGCTCCCCCTGGTGACATCTCCGGCGCAATTTCAATATGCCCAACCTATCATCGCTGGATCCCGGGATCCCTTGAGAATGGCAAATATAGAATGCAGCTCATTGACGCTGCAGGTCGACGTCCTCTTATCACCGATCTGACTCATATCGCACAAGGAGTGTCGGGAGGTTGTTTGAAACTTCCAACGTTTCAAAGTCGGTCGGCACGCATTTTACGGATATAATAAATCGTTTCTATGATTTCTTTACTAAATAATGATCAATGAGACTTCGAACAAATTTCATTATCGTTATCATGTGTTAATTCAATCTGTGGAACAGCTTTAACTAGGTATGAAATTAATATTTCACTCACTAAACATGATTTCACTAAAATATGTGATTAAAAAGCTCCTGGCTTTAATACCTTTCAAAATAATTACAAACAAAAACAAAACACAGAATAATACAATGACTAAATTCACTAAAATAGGGGTTTGCCTGGATGCAATGATAACTCAGGATATGGAAATTGATGACGGTCAATGGATTCTGCAACACAACGACGAAGAAATACAGGGGCCTTGCTTGCAGAGGAACGCTGTTATTCTGGAAAACATCACTGATAGCAATAGATCGCAAACCAGTCATATATCACTTGTCTCACAATATCGCAACAGCAACATACAGAGTACTCAGTTGAAATGGTGGACCCTAACTCATTTATAGGGTGTAAATGGCCCAGATTCAGGTACACCACCAGGGTTTTCACAGGAACCAGTCAGAATGTGGTCTTGCTGACAGCTATTTGGTACGTCATAAAACTTGAAGCGGAAACTAGCCAAATGCACGAAACAGCTCTGCATACGAGCATTTGCATATTCGAATATATTCCTTGTCGGTTAACACATTTATTTTCAAGTCTCCTGCTTACTTTCATTTGTTTAATAACACGTTTGACTCCCTGAATCTGAATAAAATGTCCGGTTATTTAGATATACACGAATTGCGTTAGAAATGCGCAGTCCTTTAAAAGCAGACAAGGCATTATATTTTACAATAAATTACTAACTTTATAGTAAACTGACTAGAACTTGTATTTATGACTGTTAGGCGCGGAAAATCGAATCCGTTCAAGGTAATAGTAGTTTTGAAATATTCACCAGAAAACAAGATGAACGGAGGTGTTAGGCAATCCCTTTGAGTGGAATTAGTGTTTAGTTTTTTCCTTCCAAGCTATATACGTAAACAGAACGTTATTTCTTCCCAGTTTTAGTGTATCACGTGTGACATTTCTCTACAATAACATTACCTTGCACAACGTAGTCCGCGATAAAATTGTTCGTATTCACGTTAGACATTAATAAATAGTACGATTATCATCAAACAAATAGTTTACGTTGTGTGGTACATTCTCAGTTAAAACAACTGAAAAAAAGACTGTTCGTAGTGAGGGTGTGGTAGAGGCCCCATTGCGTAAAGCGCAAATGCATATGAGAAGGATTGCCTTTAACAATGACGTTATGTGGTGCACGATCTCGAAGTCGTTCGCGCCAAAACTCAATACGACGACGCCGACGGTGGTTTCGCATGATACAAGTTCTCAAATCTAGCCATGGCGTTCATGATTGCTTCCTGGCGTGTCCCGAGGATTTCAGCAACTTCAAATCCCCCCCCCCCCCGATTTGCCCCTCGCCATATTGGCCCGGACCAATATTGAAACATACGAAGATATTACATGATGTTATACTTGCCACATAACATCACTCGCCGCAGCAGCGAATGTCACGCACACTACATCACCAAACAATATTGAAATAAGAAAATAATTGTCAAATCAATTTAATTGTTATGTCAAAATACCTGAATAATTGCAAAATAATGTAATAACATTAGTATTGACATACATACATAATTACAAAATAATGATCTAGGTAATTTTTGCGGTAACCCATACTTTTTAACTGTTTACATTGTCGTCAATGAACACTGTGACTGTCGCGTGGGTCCTGTAACTTGTTGTGCAATAATGGTTATAGCGCCACCTATAATTTATGGTAAAGTTACGTTGACTGTCACGTGATAAATTGTCGCGTACAATTGTTACATACAAGGGCAATTTATTAATCATTGATGTTTCTTGTCGCCACCTAGAGAGTGATTATAAACTAAAATATTTGCACACTGATCTGATGTAATATGATATGCGTGCGCGGAATGTTGGCTGGCGTGGATTCTCTGTGAAATTAACTCACTCTGCAAATAACGTATGAGTAGTCACTGTTTTTACTTGTTTCCTGAGAATCACAGTCACTAAGCCCACTGCTAATTTGCATAATCCATACTATTCGATCAAAGCGTTTGTTTACTTTAACACACCAAAGCCAATTACCAGCCACCCAGGTTGCTAATAACCTTCAGAACAAAATCCAAAATAATTGGCCCCTTCTGGAATATTTAGCACACCCTTATGTAAACTGTGATATAGCTCTACTCTTCCATGCCCATGATCTTGACCTGCTCTCGATTAAGACAAACGGTTCATTGAATATAATATGAATAATGTATATTTCTTATTTACGTGCACGGCATGCTATACTGTAAAAAATACCATGCTAGTTTGTATTATAACATTTCATGAAATTAAGGGAACTGCATTCCTCACGTCAAATTATAAAAAAATGTAGAAATATAAAAAATACTACTATAATAACATGTTATTGCATATGATAGTACATCTCAGGATAGTACTCAAGTGCCATAGTTAAAACCGCTTGAAATGCGATGTAAATATCCTCTACTAAAATGTGCTGGTAACCATGTCATCACTGTGCTCCGATGTGCCGTGATATTCCACTAGAAGTGACGACCCCGGGTAGACTCCTTAGCTTGGTGAAACATAGCAGTATATGTGTTAGTTCGTCAGTGTATTTGCAGACACCATGGAAGCTGGGAAGATGAGAATGTTTTTTCTTGTGACTGCAATGCTGCTAGTAATTCTAGGTAAGATGATTTATCGTGTCTCGATTCGAAACGTTGACTCACCCATCCGTGGTTCTTGTGCCCCCCCCGTTGCATGTTAATATTTAACCAAGAACTTGAACGTATGAACTGTTTCACCATGGAACAACTGCAACAACAATAACACAGATGCACATGCAACCGTAGATATGAAAATATTTGTTCTGCCTCTGGCGCAACGCGGTAAACGTGTTCGGAGCTTCAGTACATGATATGTCTATGTGGTGATTGCGAGCTGCGCCCAATCGCGAAGTCTACAGATGTAATCACGTCGTAACTTCAGCATACTCCCAGTTGTATGTATTCAGTCTCATTGCGTTCGCCCATTGAACTGAGTGCACGGCTTCGTAATTTCTATATTTCATTCACATATCTTATAATAGATTTACAATATCCTCGCCGCGCAAAAAAAATAACTGACCCATTCCTGTGGTATTAAATACACATTCACATGTTTTATTGCGACACAGGTGTATATTATGGGACGAAGCATACATCGTAATTTATGATGACCCACATACTAAATACATCTGTCACATACTAGTACTTTGTCACATTGTGTTGTCCTGGCTTATTTATCGAACACACATTGGAAGGTTCACCATCAAAAGGTTTTACGAGTTATTAGTCATGCCCAATTTACTAGAATATTACTAAAAATATCGTATATGTTCTGATATTGTAATGAGTTAATTAATTCTACTTTGTTGTTGTCCGAACAATGCAATATAAATATCAAGATGGGTTTGATAAAATATGGATATGTCGTTGGTGTGATATGCGGTGAAAAACTTAAGATAATCGCAAAATCGTGTTAAATTGTTCTTCTAATTTATTTCAAAGTAACCCGATAAGACGAGTTGTTTTCTCTTTAGAATAGTAGTGAAGTAGAGTGAAACATGGACTGGAAAGAGATGGACATCCGGTAATAATAATCAGCTAATGGAATGAATTCGAACAGATTGATTCTTCTGATGCTATTTCCCTCGCAGTATTTTTCACACAACGAGGAGATCTCAGTAATCTTGACTGATCCTTCTCCTAACGTTAACGTTGTCTACTATTATCTGTTCGCATGACGATTTGTTATGTGCTCTGGGTATTTTGGGTTCCGGGGTTGTTTGTCAATCGTTCATTGTTTTGTGTGATAAAACTGGCCGGAAAAAGATTAATTGACGCACCCGCAGAAAATTTAATTTTTTCACTCATCATCGAATCTCTGGTATCAAAAATAAACAGTATTTTTTGTGTAATAATTATATTCTAGACAATTTTTAGTATTAAGGTGTACAAAGAACACAGCATCAAGTTTTGCAGTAGTTCAGTAGCAACTACAGTATTATTTGACTAATTCATTTTATACATTTCACGTTAACATGTATGGTTCAATATTACTTATAATGGTGCCTATGATTATATTTAAAATACTATGTTGTTTTTACAATACAATTAGATGTACTGTACTTTGAAACACTCATCCGAATTATTGCACCTCTCTGGTGCATTATATTCAATATACAATGTACCTGTAAATTGTATTCACTGAAAAGAAACTACTACTGGCGTCAAATTGGAAAATCAAATATAACTTAAATATGCATGTACTGAGTGTGTTATTAATTTACAGGTAAACCCTGAATACAAATGAATAATTGATTATGAAGTCTTTCATCGTTTTAATTTTAAAAGATATTTAGCTTAGTTTAATTACAGTTTATACAAGGTGTCAATTTCCTCTTTGCACAGTTGATTATACTATAAGCAAATGCATATTTTATTTTGTTGTTTGAGAGGAAAATGATACTTAACTACTTTTCTATCTGCAGAATATAAATGTAGTATTCAAAGTTCAGTGTTTGGCATTATACGGGCATTACATAATTGCAGTAAATGATTGCTGGTTGTCTTACCCAATGAATGAAGTATATCATCATAACAATATGGATTTGTGCATATGTAGTCATTCTATCAACCGAGTCATCCAGCTAGCAGCACATAATGCTGATAGGATTTATAAACCTAATATTCTACATATTAGTGACTTTCATACAAATTGAGTTTGAATTTGAGTTTGGATGCGTATTTTGGTAACTATGAAGATACACGTGAGGCAAAAATCCAACAATACGCCAGTGAATTATTCATCATGACAAGCAAACATTTTAAAATTCTTCAAAAAAAATATTGGCGGATGAAAAGTTGATTATGTATGTATACCCGAGTATACCTATCTTCGCAGCCATGTCCTTCAGGGAACTATACATAGTGACTATTTCCTGGTGAGTCTAACATGTTTTGTATTCTGACCGTTACTAGGAATCATTTATTAGAAGGATTAGTAAACATAGTGTCCAATTATAAATTTGTAAGCCCCATATCTAAAAGGATTTATGCAATAGAAAGGCATATAACCTCTGCAATAAGAATGTATGTGATAATTAACGTGCACTGAAAACAAGAATAGTCGCATGGAAACTGTAATTGATCCCCAATGCCGTCCAATATGACGTCGTTCACTCCAAGGATACTCCCAACCTAAATAGCACATTTCCGGAGTTTACCCCCACTCCAACCTTGATGCGTGGCAAGCGCGGTAACCACTGTGGTACACCCGGTGTAATATAGTATATACGAATTTCTTGGATCATACGGCTCTGTATTAAACAACATAGTTTTTATATAAAGCGCAACTTATATTATTGCAATGTTGTTTAAAATACACATAAATAAACTTGACTAAGAGATATACGTTGTTTTAGTAAGCAATTTAAATAATGTATGTATATCATATCACTATACAACTGTTTATATCATAACATTTCAATATTATTTTCACGAAGACACTTTTCTATCAAGTGCGTAACGCGGCACCACTGTTACAGAGTACACAATATGACAATAACAATATCCTTCTGTATATTTCATCTGTACCATGAATAATTGGAAAAATAATCTGATGGCACTCGATAGAAATCGAGATTGGCTCTCCTAACTAAATGTGCCAACCTTTATTTTTTTGTTTTATTTTTAAATTCGTCTTTACCTGCACGATTTCCAATATTGGAAATGATCAACGAACATTATTGAATGATGAAGTGATATAATATTTCTACAAGATATATAGCAAATGTATATATAGTAAACAGTGCTGTGGTGTCCAATGGAATAGCTGTATAAATATCACGAGACGGGCATGCAGACATTGACAAATACGTAATTAGCAATTATCGTAGTTAATTAGGTGAGAACCTTATCACTCGAATTGTACGAAAGCTGATTTCACTGTAGACCACGTTATAACCACATCAGAGTCATCAAAGGTAAGCACATTAATCATAGAAATATAAAAAGCATAACTTTAGTGAATTATAATCATACTTTTTCTATATGCGTAACAAATAGAAAGGTCTTGAAACATAACTGGAACATGAAAACGATGTGGAATGTAAAGAGAATGTATTCACCCATATCATTTTAAATTAATGGCGTTCAGCAATGATAATGAACGCTGTAATACACTGGTTTCACTCTATTCATGAAATGACGAATCACAGAGAGGTCAGAACAGTATTAACGTTCTGTACTTTAAGATAATATTTGACTTTCAGGTAACGTTAATAAAACGGTTTTATGTTGTAGTTGTGAAAAATCAGTCAATGTAATATCGTGTGTTTATATACCCTTTTCAGTCGTGTTAAAAGTATTACAGTATAAATGCAAGTTTGTTGGCACTCGGACTCCTAACACAAAGTTTTGCAATCAATATATTTAAACATTAATCGGTTAGATTTTGTGAGATATGCACATTTTAGGTATCTGTATAAATTTGCAGTGGATGAACAACTATGCAAGTACTATGTAATTTAATGTAAACATTTAATTCTATATAAAATATATGAAATCTTCCAATTATAGTTTTACGCCAGTGTTACTTGGGTATTTAATATGTTATAAAGGCTAATTACGGGGACTTTAAGTGTGACGTGAGGTGACGTATTGAGGCCATAGGCTGAGATATTAAATCGTTGGAGAGAACTTGATACCCAAAAAGAGACCGAGTACGAGTGTTTAACATTTTGGGGACAGTCTCATTTTCGAAGGCATTTACGTTCTGCCAATGATACTGCACCGAATTTTGTTCAGGGGAAAGGAAACTATCCCCTATTTTTTAAATTGAATATGCTATACATGTCCTAGAACATTTACTTCGCTATTGCGTGCAGGCTGTACACATTAGCACGAGTGGCTGACCTTAAATAGTTGTGGACATTGTTCTCAAATATTGAAATTGTGGCAGGTGGATGTTATATTCAGAGGTTATATAAAGACCCCCTTATTAATATTCATGCTAGACCCAACTCTAAACACGAAATAGTAAAGTACAACAACACTTGGTCGGTTTTTCATCAATGATGTCACGCGATTGAGCAGTAAATTTATTTAACCACAAAGATTGTATGAGCGCCAATGCAATAAATCTAATATAGCGGATATATGTCTCTAGTGTGGATTCAGTGTGGTCCATGGCGTATAGTTGTGGACACAGCAAATACGAACCGTGTGTAGAAGGGTCATTGTGAAACCAAGTGTAAATTGATCGAAGCATCTGCGACTGGCTTTGTTTAATTATTAATCAATACTTCGGTCGGAATATCGCAAATGATTAACTAATTTAAATCGCGAATTGCGTGTAAGTACTTCTGTTTGAATGTTGATGAATGTTACCCCACATTGAACACGCAGTCGTTAATTGCGATACATTGAAGCAAAACGATAACCCCCGGCACTTATGACGCGCTGGGTCGGCAGGTGTTTGTGCTAAATATGATGACTTTATGATTGATAAGTTAATATAATCTGATATAATTGCCAATTAAGTGTGACTATATATTTGACGTGTGAGGTAAAACTTAATGCAAAGATACATAAATAACATTGTGCAATTGTATAAATTATTATTCAGTTATAATTGCATGTGTCAG